TGCCTTAGGAGAAAAGTGGGATAACTGTGGAATACTCTGCTGGTTCTCTGATCTGCACATAGCATCGTATCAAGGAGCCTTGCATGTTAACTGTGAAGTGTCATTGTATGCTTGAGAGCAGCTGTTGAATTGAGCTGAGTTTTCCTGTCTGTCTTCCAAACTTGCATAAAATGCTGGAAAGTGTGGCTTATTGCCTAAGAGAGAAATCTAGGGGGGGAAAGTATTCTTATCCTTCTTTCTGATGGGGACACTGTATTGTCACATTACACTGCTACTTGCTGGGGAGATGCTGAATCACATCTCTCTGTGTAACTGGTCAGTACTATGGCTTTTCTTGCTTTACCCACTAAGAACTTGCAATGTGCCACCTGGCTGAAGCATCTTGTGGTGCTGCTTTCTGAGTTGCCCTGTGAAGTCAGATGTGTGGAAAACCAGCAAAGTATTCTGAAGCTATCTGAGCTCATAGAATCATAGAGTCGTCCGAGTTGGAAGGGACCTCTGGAGGTCATCTGGTTCAACCTCCCTGCTCAAGCAGGGCCACCTAGAGCCAGTTGCCCGGGAGTTCCTGTGTGGTATTTGTGGTTTGAAGCCTACCGAATTTAATGTTTAAGAGCTGGTATGTGCAGAAATGCATATTTAATGGGGATGTGCTTTAGTGTTACTGAGGAGAAAGGATTCCTGGTCACCTTTCATCTAGAATTTGGCACTATTACAAGACGCTGTAAACGTAACTCAGTCTTATGTTATTTATAGGTATTGTTAAGAAGCCTAGAGGCTTCAGAAGAGATCTTAAGAGCTGTGCAGAGTAACCTGTGAGAATGATTGGTTCTAACAGTAAATGAAGACAATAAACGTGCATAGCAGCGAAGAACCTGTCTTGTGAGATAGAATTAGAGTGGAAAATGGGCTGTGTACAGTACAGAATTGTCCAGGAAATACTGCTGACTTTCTGATCCTCAAGCAATACTTAAACTCTGCGCTCTACAGATTAGAGCCTTATTTTTCTCTTACAGCACCTCTGTCTCTGTGTCTTACCTTTCTAAGCTGGACTTGAGCTACATGCATTGAGATTCTTGAACTTTT